AAGTTGTAATGTTAGTGTCCTTGTATCTTTGTATTTTCTTCTTTCCTTTCTTGAAGTTCTTTGTGACTCTTGGAAGATAAGTGTGTTTGTCTTCCACTTGTAAATTTTCTACTGATGAATTAATGAAAGTGTTATTGATAAAAAAAAAATGCTTTTTCACATATTTAATATAATCTAAGTTTCATCGATAAAAAAAAATAGTGAAAGTGATTAACAATTTATAAATAATTCAAAAGAATAATAAAATGTATAAAAATTATAATTGATCAAAATTATAATTTATGAAATGAATAAACTATTAAGAAAATGATTAAAAATTAAAAAGAGAATAAAAATTAATTTGTTATTATTAGTACATTATTAATCATTTATATTTTAATAATAATTTATTTTATATTAATCATATGATCATATCAAAAAATTATTGTTATTATAGATTGTAGCAAAAAAGAAGGAAAAAAAGTGTGTTTGGGTGAAGGGGGTTTGGATTCCAGGGTTTGGGGTCTTAATTCTGATGGTCTGTTCTCTTGTAAGTCTTTCTTGAATTCTTTGGTAGCCACTTCATCCTCTCCTTTCTCATTTTAAGGAAGTCTGTTCCCTCGAAAATCAGTGCTTTCTATTGGGAAGTGTTTCATGGCTGTATTAATACCTGCGACTTGCTTCAAAGAAAAAGACCAACTTGGTGTTTTCCCCCAGCTAGTGCGTTCTGTGCAAGTTAAGTGGTGAAACTGCCTTTCATCTCCTAATCTCTTGCCCTCTTGTTAGCTTTATTTGGAATTGGTTTCTTCCCTCTTTGGATGCATTTGGTCTCCTCCTGACCGGTTGGAAGGATTGTTTAGCCTTTCTGTTTTTAGCTGTACTAAAAGGAGGGTTAGGATCTTTGGAGATGTACAAGAGCAGTGGTACTAAGGACAATTTGGGAGGAAAGAAATTCAAGAATATGTGAAGAGAAAGGAGCAAGGAAGCATTGGTAGAGTGGCACAATGGACAAACAGTTTAAAACTGTTTTCAAATTCTAAGGTTGAAGACTTTTTTAGGGCCTGGGCTGTTTTGCAGCTTCATCTTCTAGAAGACAGAAACCTGCTGAAATGTGGTCATCCCCATTATGCGACTGGAAGAAACTGAATTTTGATGACAGTTGTTTGGGTAACCCAGGCCCCTCAGGCATGGGGGCGGGGGGGGGGCATTAGGGATGAGGAAGGAAAAGTTATGGCCTTATACTCCGGGACTGCTGAATAGGGCAATGTGGCAAGAGCAGAACTGTTAGCTGCAGTATACGGGGTCGAGAAGGCAAAGGAGCATTGATAGTCTAGTCATTGAGGGTGATTCGAGAGAACTGTAGTGAAATGGTTGAAGAAAGGGGAGGGGGTGACAATGGCACCTGAGGAATGATTTCAGGCGATCTAAATGGTTATCAAAGGACATGACAAGAGTTAAGTGGGTGAGAAGAACTGCCAACTGCTTGGCAGATGGTCTAGCTAAGCAATGGGTTCAAAGAACTCAATTGTAATATATGGGTTGACTCAGATTTTCTACAGCTGTGTTTTTTCCTTTTTCACAACCTCTTGTATTCTAGGGTGACATAAAAAATTAAAAATACTACTCTGCCCTTGCGGCACTACACTCCCCCTCAAGATGGGCATTAGATGTCAATCATTCTCAACTTGTTGCATATTCATCATGTCGCAGAGTACTCAACCCCCTTGTGAAAACATCAGCTAATTGGTCTTTAGAGTTGACATAGGGAGTCCAGACTTCTCCTTAATTGTGGGGAAGACTAAGAAAAGAAAGGAAAAGAAAAGTTTCAGTCTACTAATTGTGTGGAAGACTAAATTTATTTTGTTTGTATATCACAGGGCCATGATGTGTTTGCGATTGCTAGTCCCGAAAGATATGTTGTAGGATTGGAGATATCAGAAATTGCCGTTAAGAAAGCAAATGAGGTAAGAAAGTTTACTGAGTTTATTCCACTCTAATCAACTCTCCAAAAGAACATTAAATGAATCATCAAATTGTTTGCGATTTTCTTGGTTCTTGTATAACCAATATCATTATATTTTTTGAAAATGAGCGGATAAAATACCCATCATTTTTTTAATCTTTCGAATTTGCTTATATGGTTTGTTGTAGGTCGTTTTGATCAATGAATAGTTTCCTTTTCTTTTTATTTTGATAGGTAAATTAAGCTTAAAAGGGTCACTCTAGGTCTCTCAATAGCTATAAAGCACGCAAAGTAATAAACTAAATAAACAAAAATTGCAAGATTTTATGTGTGTTCATGCTTTGGTATCCATAGATGTACTTACAAGTTTAGAGCCCAACATCAATGTCTCCTCAAGCAAATGAATTACATGCTTCCTTTGTGATAAACATAGTTCTATCTTAGAGTATCTCAATTCATTACCTAGGAAATGCCATAGTTTTCTCAGATCCTTTGTATGAAAATTAGAAAATGCAACCATAGAAACCCCTATAACTCACTAAAACCCCTTCTCATCATTGCCTATAATCACAATATCATCATCATACACCATTAAAACAATATGTCCAGCCTTGGAAGTCCAGAAAAAAATAATAGTAATCTGACTGGCATCATTTCTTACCAAAATCAATCACTGCCTTACTGAGCTTATCAAACCAAGCACATAGGGACTGTTTTAACTTCAAGAATGCTTTCTTGAGCCTCAGACTTCCCTTGAGAAAGAAACCTAAGGAGTTCATTCTTGATGTCTAACTGGAATAGTGGCCAATGCAAGGCAGCAACAATAGCAATGATAACATGGAAAGAGGAAATTTTAGCAACATGGGAAAAAATATCAGTGAATTGCACACCATAAATCTGATTAAATCCTTTTTGCTACTAAGCATTAAGCCATTCAGTTGTACCAACAAGGAGAAACTTCACAATGTAGACCTATCTACATTGCTGTGAGATGGCCAGATTTAGGATTCAAAACTGTATACAAAGGAGAAATTGAACTAAAACATTAGGAGGCAATATCAAAGAAGCATAAGAAACTGTTAGCGTAGGGGTATTTCTGTCTTTATACTTAGATTAAGGTTGCTGATCTGTAATATTGTGTTAGAACTAGTGCTCCTTACTTAAATAAGGGCACCTGTCTGGCCGAATGGGAGTTATGTTCTTTGACTTCCAATTCGAACCAGATTTTCTTCTTTTCTCTCTCTCTCTTTCTTCCACCTTTCTACCTCTTTCTACGTGACTGATCTCAGACAAACAGAACTCCAAGGCAGGCCGAATCATAACATGGTATCAGAGCCACTCGAATCTGCCTAGATTTCTATTCTCT